GTGAGACCATCGCGTCGGTGCTGTAGCGGTTAGCAAGGAGGTTACAGTTTGCGCTAGACTCAACTTATCATGCTGGTGATTTGATTTGATGATTTGACCTAGTGATTTGAGGCTTGTGACTTGAACTAGGGGCTTGTGAGCATGAGCGGGTTTGCTACCGGGGTACAGCCCTACTTATCGCGTCGGGGTCACGCGGGTCAGCTCCCTGTCGCCGCTCTTTCTGGGCCAACTTAATTTTCGGTAGGGCCTACTTTTCATCGTACAATTTAAGGTGTATCCTTGTATTTATGGTAATTCTCATTTAGTGCACAAAAAAGCACGCATTTCTGCTCTTGAGACTCAAAAAAGAACGGACGTTGTAACTTGTCTGGTTATTTCGTTAGACTCGTTGGAGTCGGCAATGCTAAATTGTAATTTTTGTTCGACAAGCATGAATGAAGAAAAATTAATATAAAAAAGGCCTCGACAAAATCTGTGGAACTTTTGGAACATGAACGACATAGCATTGGTGCAGATACTCAGAAAAGATGGTATCTGCGCATATAATAGAAAGCTGTAATTTTGCAATTTTATCCATCGGGCACACAATTTGCTATGAAGTAATTCCTCCAAATACAACTTTATGGGTCTAATATAATCGTGAATATTCGCACATTTTCTTGAAAGTTTATAAAAGTTACCATGAAGTTTCTCTATGAAAAGTATAAATCGATTTTAGTGCCAGAATACATCTTCAATGTAATACACGAACAGTATCTGTTACACTCCAGAAATTCCTTACTTTTCTGAAAACGCTAAGTCTAGGTTTTGTAAGTTGACTGAATAATAGGGATGACTTCTCGTAATTGGGTTATAAGAATAATTTCTAGCTTTCCAGGGACACCGAATCAGCACCAGACTTTTCCAGCTTTTTTTTCGTTTCTATGACCATTTGCAATAACTGACAATGTGACTGATTTCTTTACATTCATAATTGTGTCCGCGCATATTTCCTACACAAAAACTAAGAATGAATGTTTTAGCTGTCATTATTTTTATTCCACACAAGAAGTTTATCTCTGCCCATGTATTTACACGGTTTTGTGGTTTTTTAAATCGCTTATATTATATCTTTTTAGTTGTACACAGGCTGCCACAGACACAGCATGATTCATGAACAAACGCAGAGTAACTTTCTCTAGTTTAATAGTAAAATAAGAGCTAACGCTGATCGTCTTTAGTTAAAATATGCAGACGTGCATCTTTCTTCTCTTATAACTTGACTATTACTACTACCGCAGATTTAACATTTCTCACGGTAAAAGACATGATATTCGTAGTCAGTTAAACATAGATTTTGGAGAGATCTGTGGAGCCATTTTTAAATTAAGAATCATTTATTCATAACTTTGTAACTAAAATAAGGCAAATTGGGTACTCTACAAACATTTGTCTAGAACAAAAACTAAGGCACAGAAGTTAACCATTCTAACGCAGAATAAATCTCAAGACATTGAGCTTTTAGTACATCCGCGTAATGGTTTGCTGTGTTTGCCGAGTCACGCTAACTAAAAGTAACAGAATCGGGCGAAAAGTGACACCGTGTACCATGACAAAGTGTCCAACATCAAACAACAGACCGCGACACAAAGTGGTGGTGTGTCATTCAATTACAGTTGTTTATTTTCAATAAAAATTGTGTATGTACAAAGATCAGAGTCGTCTGTGTTCTTTCTTGATGAAATCCACCACGGCCTTGTGGGGGGTCGGGCTCCGGTAGTTTTTGTACCACAGGAAGAAGGTGAAGGCCGCAAGGGAAAACCTGAGGGGGAGGGAGAGAATGGAGGGAGAGAATGGAGGGAGAGAATGGAGGGAGACAATGGAGGGAGAGAATGGAGGGAGACAATGGAGGGAGAGAATGGAGGGAGACAATGGAGAGAGAGAATGGAGAGAGAGAATGGAGGGAGACAATGGAGAGAGAATGGAGAGAGAGAATGGAGAGAGAGAATGGAGGGAGACAATGGAGGGAGAGAATGGAGGGAGACAATGGAGAGAGAGAATGGAGGGAGACAATGGAGGGAGAGAATGGAGGGAGAGAATGGAGGGAGAGAATTGAATGAGAGAAACCTTATACCATACATCCCTCCCCCCTCAAGCAGAAACAATGAATGGACGGTCAAATAAAAGAAAGATACGCCCTCCCATCACCACCCATGTCCCTCTCACTCTAGGTGTTAGTAAGCCCCCATCACCACCCATGTCCCTCTCACTCTAGGTGTTAGTAAGCTCCCATCACCACCCATGTCTCTCACTCTAGGTGTTAGTAAGCCCCCATCACCACCCATGTCTCTCTCACCCTAGGTGTTAGTAAGCTCCCATCACCACCCATGTCTCTCACTCTAGGTGTTGGTAAGCTCCCATCACCACCCATGTCTCTCTCACTCTAGGTGTTAGTAAGCCCCCATCACCACCCATGTCTCTCTCACTGTAGGTGTTAGTAAGCCCCCATCACCACCCATGTCTCTCTCACTGTAGGTGTTAGTAAGCCCCCATCACCACCCATGTCTCTCTCACTCTAGGTGTTAGTAAGCCCCCATCACCACCCATGTCTCTCTCACCCTAGGTGTTAGTAAGCTCCCATCACCACCCATGTCTCTCACTCTAGGTGTTGGTAAGCTCCCATCACCACCCATGTCTCTCTCACTCTAGGTGTTAGTAAGCCCCCGTAGAGCATAACGCCTCATCAGCACAGCGTACAATGTACATCATCTAGGAGGCGGGCTACGTCTCCCGACCTGTCATGGCTGCTGTGGGCTGGGTGAGACCATCGCGTCGGTGCTGTAGCGGTTAGCCACTTCACCGTCACAGGCAGGACACCTGAGTTCAACCCCCCAGTGGGGAGAATGTCTATGGAGTATCTTGGTCTGTCCGCTGGTCTAGTTTTAATAAGTGTTTTACGGCACTTGCAACACAATAAAGTCATATAAGTGCTGAAGAACAGAGGTGTTACAAGAGAGTAACAAACACAAAAAAGGAGGAGGGGAGATAACGACGACAGATGTTTGGTAGAAAAGAAGGAGCAAACCACACCAGAGCACCTGCCAACCACCCACTTGGCTCCTAAAAGATTATAACCTAAATTGTGTCAACATTTTTTAAAAAGTTAACAGCGCCCCATTACCCTCTCACCATGTGACAATGTAGGTCATGTGTTCGTTCCGCAGTGTGACCCTCGTCTGTCCGCCTTGGGGGCCGCCCGGCACCGTGGAGTCTGTGGGGGGGGGGGGGGGGGGGGGGGGGAGGAAGTTGTCAGTAGTCAGTTGTCATGTTGTCAGTTGTTACTACGAGTTTTACAGCACTTGCAACTAAATAGACTCAGATACCTAGGAATGTTTTATGCACTAAATAGATAGACTCAGATACCTAGGAATGTTTTATGTACTAAATAGTTAGACTCAGATACCTAGGAATGTTTTATGCACTAAATAGACTCAGATACCTAGGAATGTTTTATGTACTAAATAGTTAGACTCAGATACCTAGGAATGTTTTATGTACTAAATAGACTCAGATACCTAGGAATGTCTTATGTACTAAATAGACTCAAATACCTAGGAATGTTTTATGTACTAAATAGACTCAGATACCTAGAAATGTTTTATGTACTAAATAGACTCAAATACCTAGGAATGTTTTATGTACTAAATAGACTCAGATACCTAGGAATGTTTTAAGTACTAAATAGTCACTCAGGTACCTAGGAATGTTTTATGTACTAAATACGGTGGAATCCACTTATAACGAGTCCTGAAACAACGAGAAGTCTGCTATAAAGATACTATTCTAAAACCCCGTTTTTTTCCCTTCTTTATCTTTGTAAATAAAATACTGCTATAGCGCAATCAGACCGTCACGCGAGTCGGTTATAACGGAATATTGCTGCTGCTGTGCACAGCACATAGGCTATTTATTAATGTAAAACCTCGCCAGTTGAGAAACTTGTTGGTGATCTAGCGAAACAAAGAATGGGAGAGCCCACATGTGCCAACAATGAACAAGGGAGGTCTGATTGAATGAGTGGGGAGAGTGTGGCATGCACAGACAAGCAGAATGCATCGTGTGATAGGCCAGCCTAGTCTAGATTATCTAGGTCTACCACGCCTCTCACTTCACCGATGCGGGGATGGAGAGGTCATAGTGCTGTACTGTGATGGACGGAGCGAATGTGTGACGTGGGCGGGGTGTGGTATGTTCCCATTGTGCGCAAGCAGACGGAACGCACCACAGGGTGTGGTGGGGTGGGGGACAACACAGCGGGCGAGTTAGCCTAGAGAACTTTTTTTCTGATCGCCAACGCCGAGCTGTCAATATCGCTAGTGTTTGAGAAAGAAACCTGATTCGACTTTTGATCAAGTAAGACTTAAAGGTCATGTTGAACCAAATCATCATCAGGGGAGATTACAAAAAGAAATAAACCGAAAACCAGACTCATAGATTAGGCCTACTTTATTATTTCCCTTGAATTTATTACTGGGTCCCTTATAACGAGAATCTTGCTATAACGGACATTTGACACCGGTCCCCTCCCTCTCGTTATAACAGGATTCCACTGTAGTTAGACTCAGATACCTAGGAATGTTTTATGTACTAAATAGAATCAGATACCTAGGAATGTTTTATGTACTAAATAGTTAGACTCAGATACCTAGGAATGTTTTATGCACTAAATAGACTCAGATACCTAGGAATGTTTTATGCACTAAATAGACTCAGATACCTAGGAATGTTTTATGTACTAAATAGTTAGACTCAGATACCTAGGAATGTTTTATGTACTAAATAGTTAGACTCAAATACCTAGGAATGTTTTATGTACTAAATAGTTAGACTCAAATACCTAGGAATGTTTTATGTACTAAATAGTTAGACTCAGATACCTAGGAATGTTTTATGTACTAAATAGTTAGACTCAAATACCTAGGAATGTTTTATGTACTAAATAGTCAGACTCAAATACCTAGGAATGTTTTATGTACTAAATAGTCAGACTCAAATACCTAGGAATGTTTTATGTACTAAATAGTTAGACTCAGATACCTAGGAATGTTTTATGTACTAAATAGTCAGACTCAGATACCTAGGAATGTTTTATGCGCCTACCAGCACACTTTTGACAATTCTGGAGACCAGCCATACTTTGACTCTGCCTCTTTAGGCCAAAATTGAGCTGAGTGGGATACAACATTTCAGCAGATGGATGGAGACACTCCATAAAATACCAACTCTTACGGTGTGATTTCATTTCTCATGTCTTTGGGAGCACTTGTTGCTAAGATTGAGACCGACAAGTCTTGGACCCAGCAAATGAAATACATCTTTTACCACCGATTCATCAACGTAAAAAAATGATGCTTTGTGGGTTAGCCGGTCTGATCACAAGGGCGACAACATGTCTGGCGTCGTCGTGGCGACGTTATTGCAGACGTGTACATCTGTCAACACACTCACTGAGGTCAGCGTCGATGAACACGGCAGACGTCTCGGCCATTTCCGCCATTTCTTCCACATGTCTGGACACCCAGTAGCCCATCTTCTGCGCGTCTTGGCCCATGATGGGTTGCTGAAAGGAACAATAATCATTCATTGTACCGTCAGTTTTAAACGTCATAACGACAAATATAATTCGATGTATACATATATAATTATCAACAGGTATATTTGGTCGCTTTTAAGGACAAGCGGGCTAACCCAGATGTCGGGGGTTTCCAGAAATCTTGACCTACACCAAAAGTGGGCATTGCCCTACCTAAAGGAGAAGTTTGGTTTCATTGGTGTGTATATTTGTTTGGTTATAGAGAAAACTCTCCCTGTCTTTTAAAGAAACTGAACAAGGGGCAAAAACTTTATCTTCGATTTTCTCAAAACAGCATTTTTCGGGATAGCCCCCTTGTGCTTAAAAGTGACCATTTCTGCTGAGCAGTCCCGACATTGAAAAGAAAAGGTCAGACGTGGTGCTAGCTTGTCGTAGGAAGCGACTAAATGGCAAACCAGGAAGTGATTCCTGAAACAGAGTCATCCTGCCTCCAGGTCGGGGGTTGAGTCACGAGGCTAACAACCTCTCTCGTTAAAAGAACTTGTCACAGAAAAGAAACACATATTTCCAAAAAATCCCCCCCACTCAAAGCACAATAAAAAAATATACTGCATGCCCTATGTTTTAGTAAGTGTTTTACGGCACTTGCAACACAATAAGGTCGTATATAAGTGGCGAAGATTAGAGGTGTTACAAGAGAGTAGCAAACACAAAAAAGAACGATAGATGTTTGATCGGAAAGAAGAAGCTAACCACACCAGAGCACCCGCCGACCACCCACCTACTGCATGCCCTGATGATGGACAGACAAACAGGACTTGAAGAGAAGATACAGCTCTTTGAGACACAGTTGCTGACTGACTGACTGGAAAATAGTCCAAAAGTTAACGGTGCAAGTCGGAAAGGCATCACTTTCTCATCCTTCTCCGGACATTTACTCTTCAAAATAACATTTGATCTCCTTGTTTTGCTCAAGTAAAAACAAGTACGGTATATCGACTGACAACGATCAAACAGTGCTGGGAAGATGCAAGACAGACAAATAGACTCACCCTGTCCGTCAGTCTGACTACCCCCGTGATTTCCACCTCACCGTCAACCTGAAAGAAAGATGAGTACACGCCAATATTGTCATCTGAGTACACGTCAATATTGTCATCTGAGTACACGCCAACATTGCTATCTGAGTACACATCAACATTGCTATCAGAGTACACATCAACATTGCTATCAGAGTACACATCAACATTGCTATCAGAGTACACATCAACATTGCTATCAGAGTACACATCAACATTGCTATCAGAGTACACATCAACATTGCTATCAGAGTACACATCAACATTGCTATCAGAGTACACATCAACATTGCTATCAGAGTACACATCAACATTGCTATCAGAGTACACATCAACATTGCTATCAGAGTACACATCAACATTGCTATCAGAGTACACATCAACATTGCTATCAGAGTACACATCAATATTGCTATCAGAGTACACATCAACATTGCTATCAGAGTACACATCAACATTGCTATCAGAGTACACATCAACATTGCTATCAGAGTACACATCAACATTGCTATCAGAGTACACATCAACATTGCTATCAGAGTACAGTACACATCAACATTGCTATCAGAGTACACATCAACATTGCTATCAGAGTACACGCCAACATTGCTATCAGAGTACACATCAACATTGTTATCAGAGTACACGCCAACATTGCTATCAGAGTACACATCAACATTGCTATCAGAGTACACGCCAACATTGCTATCAGAGTACACGCCAACATTGCTATCAGAGTACACATCAATATTGCTATCAGAGTACACATCAATATTGCTATCAGAGTACACATCAATATTGCTATCAGAGTACACGCCAACATTGCTATCAGAGTACACACCAACATTGCTATCAGAGTACACATCAATATTGCTATCAGAGTACACATCAATATGGCTATCAGAGTACACATCAATATTGCTATCAGAGTACACATCAACATTGCTATCAGAGTACACATCAATATTGCTATCAGAGTACACATCAATATTGCTATCAGAGTACACATCAATATTGCTATCAGAGTACACGCCAACATTATCATCAAGCAGTGCTGTCCCCAGTCTACAAAGTGACCGAATCTTCATAAAGAAAGTGGATAAATAATACAACAACACACACACATCTAACTGATTTAACATTCCCTCCCAAAAAAATACAAACACAATAATTAATGTGCTGTGCTGTTAACGCCATGTTAAAAAATTCCTTTTCAGTCCCAAACCACTTATCCCTCCTCTCAAAAAGAAAAAAAAAAAAAAAATTCAGCTTGTCAAAAATGTCTTTTTAGTTTTAGTTTTAGTGTTTTACGGAACTTGCAACACAATAAAGTCATATAAGTGCCGAAGATTAGAGGTGTTACAAGAGAGTAACAAACACAAAAAAGAAGGAGGAGAGATCAGGATGATAGATGCTGGATAGGAAAGAAGAAGCAAACCACAGCAGAGCACAATAATGTCTAAATAAGCTGTGATAATTAATTCGACACAGTAACATTTATAAAACAAATGAGATAAAAAAAGAAATTTACAATGAAGATTAAATCACCACTAGGTATACAAGAAAGAAAAATGCATGAACATAAGAAAGCACCTAGGCAAAGCTACAAACACACACACACACACACACAAACACATAAATTCACAAGTCCTACAGTGAAGCCTCTCTATAACAACATCGTCGAGACCAGAAATAAAATGTTGTTATAGAGAGTTGTCGTTATAGAGAGGCTGCACTGTATATCTTTCTCTCTGTATCACCAATGACATTTACACACATGTGCTTTTAGTTTAAGTAAGAGTTTTACGGCGCTTGCAACACAATAAGGTCATATAAGTGCCGAAGATTAGAGGTGTTACAAGAGAGTAACAAACACAAAAAAGAAGGAGGAGAGATCAGGACGATAGATGTTTAGTAGGAAAGAAGGAGCAAACTACACCAGAGCACCCGCCAACCACCCACTGCACACTTGTGCGGTTGTTAAGTACCGGTACTTCTCACCTGGCCTGCTTGCCTCATCTGATGCGGCTGGTTCTTGAAGGTCACATGACCTCGATTGACAAGTATCATCTGTCTACAAAGACACAATCAGGGAAATTTCATGGGTAAGAAAATACAAGCAAGAAAAACGAGAACCTGCCTTTACCTAAACGTATACGCAAAACGAAAAACTATTTTGAGAAATTGTTAAACTGGGTCTAATATGGGCAGATACAAATGAAGATAAAGAATCATAATATTCATAACGTTTAAAGTTCAGTTGTTTTAAAAAAATGAGAATTCCCTGGACACAAGTGACCAGCACAGAGTTATAAAACAGCTTTGTTTGCATACTCAAAAAAGCTAAGCAATTAAGAAAGAAAACAATCTAAATAACTTAAAAGCTAATAAAAAGAGGCAAATCAATCTAGGGGGAAAGGATCTCTATGAACACATCAGGCTGAGAAAAGTGAAAGTAGACCCACAACTACCAGCTGGGTTTGATCTCCAACCTTTGGGTGTATGTAACAGCACCACAGCCACAGACAGGCCGCACTCAGCAGTAGGTTTACAAAGACCAGCGGCCTCCACCGTTGGACAAAAACCTTTCAAATAAACCGATCCTTAACTTACGCGGTCTGCCTGTCACCATCAGACACAAAACCTTCCCATAAAACGACCCTGAATTTACGCGGTCTGCCTGTCACTATCAGACACATAAACTTACCCTTAACTTACGGTCTGTCTGTCACTATCAGACACATAAACTTACCCTTAACTTACGGTCTGTCTGTCACTATCAGACACATAAACCTACCCTTAACTTATGGTCTGTCTGTCACTATCAGACACATAAACCTACCCTTAACTTACGGTCTGTCTGTCACTATCAGACACATAAACCTATCCTTAACTTACGGTCTGTCTGTCACTGTCAGACACATAAACCTATCCTTAACTTACGGTCTGTCTGTCACTATCAGACACATAAACCTATCCTTAACTTACGGTCTGTCTGTCACTATCAGACACATAAACCTATCCTTAACTTACGGTCTGTCTGTCACTATCAGACACATAAACCTATCCTTAACTTACGGTCTGTCTGTCACTATCAGACACATAAACCTATCCTTAACTTACGGTCTGTCTGTCACTATCAGACACATAAACCTATCCTTAACTTACGGTCTGTCTGTCACTATCAGACACATAAACCTATCCTTAACTTACGGTCTGTCTGTCACTATCAGACACATAAACCTATCCTTAACTTACGGTCTGTCTGTCACTGTCAGACGCATAAACCTATCCTTAACTTACGGTCTGTCTGTCACTATCAGACACATAAACCTATCCTTAACTTACGGTCTGTCTGGTTGTTTTTTGTTTTTTGTTTTAGTAAGGTTTTACGGCGCTCACAACTGCATAAGGTCATATGAGCGCCAAAGGGTGGATGTCAACAGAGAAGTCCTTACAGGGAATCAGACTTACTCTGCTCACCTCTCTAGCTTCAACAGCACAAAGTCTGCTTCGACTATCAAGGAACCCCGTAAATAGCGGGTCACAAGAGTGTGACAAACATACAAAAAAAGTAGAGGAAAACCATAGTAAGGATTAGGAAAGAAAAAGCAGCAGTTCCCCCTATGTTGTTTCGACACAGTATGAGCATGACATTGGTAAATCACTTAAATCAGCCTATTTCTAAATCTACTGTGCATCAGAACGAGAAATGTCCCCCCTTTGGGAACGGCCTGAAGACAACTTCAGCCAGCAGCACTGCCCCCGGGGCGAGCGGTCTGTCTGTCACAAAACCTTCCCATAAACCAACCCCACACTTATGGTGTGTCTGTTACTATCAGACAAAAACTTTCCCCATACAACGATGGCACACTTTCCATCTGTCTATCACTATCAGAAAAATAACTTTTTAAAATAAACCAATCTCAAACTTACGGTCTGTCGGCCACTATCAGACACAAAATTGTGAGACTGTTTTTCTCAAAGCATATTTTTGTATATATATACATATTATTTTATATATATATATATATATATATATATATATAAAGATCTACATATAGGGTTTTTTTCCGTGCACACATGCCCATTCATTTTTAAGATGTATGTCTTTTTTTATGTAATGCACATTGTGCATTTTTTAGAAAATAGAAATGCGCAGCATAAATGCTATTCATTATCATTATTAAAACCTTCCCACACACCGACCCCACACTTACGGTCGGTCTGCCAGTTTGAATGGGGTCACGACGTGAACGCCCAAGTTTGTCGCTCGCTGGGAGCCCATGGTCTCCGCGTCGTGGATGTTTGACCGTGGACCAATAAAAAGCTCCCTGCTGTGGTCAAATGTTCCCCTGACCTTGACCTTTCTGTATTCCATCTGTCTCAGCTCGTCCAGACTGGCCGACACAAAGAGGTACAAAAACAAATCGAGCAACGATACTTGGGAACATGTCAATCTTACAATGTATAACTATTTAATCCATCATCTCTGACGGTACTATTTAATTCATCGTCTCAGACGGTACTATTTAATTCATCGTCTCAGACGGTACTATTTAATTCATCATCTCTGACGGTACTATTTATTTAATTCATCATCTCTGACAGTACTATTTATTTAATTCATCATCTCTGACAGTACTATTTATTTAATTCATCATCTCTGACAGTACTATTTATGGTACTATTTATTTAATTCATCATCTCTGACAGTACTATTTATCTAATTCATCATCTCAGACAGTACTATTTATTTAATTCATCATCTCTGACAGTACTATTTATTTAATTCATCATCTCTGACAGTACTATTTATTTAATTCATCATCTCTGACAGTACTATTTATTTAATTCATCATCTCAGACGGTACTATTTACTTCATCGTCTCTGCCCCTCATCCAGAGGGAGAGAAACACGTGTACCCAGAATCACACGACACACATACGACACAGCGAGCAATATTGATTGTTTTAGTAAGACTTTTACGGCGCTTGCAACTGCACAAGGTCACATGAGCATGCTCGAACACATTTCCACGACAGTTTCTATACTGAGGCCTTGACAAACAACAACTGTAGCCTGACTGACAGATCTGACTGGGCAAAAACCTGCATTTATGTTGACCGAAGAAAACTAATTTTGTGGCCATATCTCATAAACTGGAATCTTAAAAGGGTGAAAAAAAAAAAATACAAGTCAATTAATGTTCTTACTTTTGAGGGAGAGGTATGGCTTGTGTGGTCATCTTCTCTTCCAGCTCTTGGATGAGGTTCAACTTCCAGCCACGGCGTTGGATCTGCCATATCCCCAGACCCACACACGTCAAAGGGATGATCTGTGGTACAACAGTTAGTGGAAGTAGAGAGACAGACCCACACAGGTCAAAGAGATGATCTGTGGTACAACAGTTAGTGGACGTAGAGAGACAGACCCACACAGGTCAAAGAGATGATCTGTGGAACAACAGTTAGTGGACGAAGAGAGACAGACCCACACACGTCAAAGGGATGATCTGTGGTACAACAGTTAGTGGACGTAGAGAGACAGACCAACAGACGTCAAAGGGATGATCTGTGGTACAACAGTTAGTGGAAGTAGAGAGAACGGCAACATAAGCCAGCTGTCGACACAGTGGAGAAAAACGTTTTTTTCCTTAATTTTAGTTTAGTTTTAGTCAGAACTTTCCGGCACTTGCAACACAACTAAAGAAATAGGTCATGTAGGGGCCGAACATTTGAGAGTAACACACAAAGCAAACAAAGGAGGAAAGATTTATTATAAGGATTACAGATGTTTGAACCAAGTGATTATTTCGAGTCGACTCCAAATAACACCTTCCATGTTAGAAAGGACCAAAAAAAAAAAGAAGCATAGCACACCACAGCACCTGCCAACCTCCCGCAATCTTTCCTTGACAGAGTTCTTTAACTATAAACAGCATTACAAAAGTGACATTTTTTCCAGAGAGTGCAAAAAGTAGCCGCCTTAAGTGTTGCGTCAAGGAGTCTTTGCTGGCCTTTCTCTCGGTGCTCAACATTTGTCATCACTGACCATGCCCTATATTCAAAAACTCATTCAAAAGACAGGCGTAGCTTTCTCGGCTGTTGTAGGAAACCCAAGCTGCTTTCATTAAGGAAGGATGCAACTGTAAATGAGATTGCTCTCTCTTTCAATACAAAACTCCTTATACCAAGTTTTGTTTTGTCCCCGTTTTCAGCACATTCATGGGAAATGTTAGAATGGGAAATCACGTTTCCTGGCTAAGTGAAAGGAATATTATATAACATTTGCCTCAACGTTATCACAACCCGGGACGTTTTACAAATTAAATGCCTTTGCCTAGTTCAACCTCTGATAGTCAGAAATACTTGAGGAACAAGCGAACAAAAAAAGTACTAGCCCCAGAATTTGTGACCAGCTGACACAATAAAGAAAGTCTACGATCTGCAAGCTGTCGGCAACAACCAACGGGCCCTCTGCAGAACTCCTTCCAAAAATTCATTATTCAAGTTCAACTTAATTGAAAGCTCTGGATGCAGGAGGTCACATACCAAAAGTGGGTAGCCACCACCACCCGGACTCCTTTTTCTTACAGCCGGTCTCTCTCTGGGGGTCTGTCTTGGCGCACTTTCACCTTGAGAATACAACCGGCAGCACTGTGAATTGGAAATATCAAAATGTTAATATTCATAAAATACATCCAAGCATTTTAACATTCATAGAGAGTGGAACAACAGGTCTTCTTCAAAATAGTTGAACCAAAATTGTTATCAGACCAACACATGGCTTATTTATAATATCAGACATTAGTCAGTCGGGGTCGTAGGACAGTGTCATTGTATTCCTACCATTTCTGCACTGCCAAAGTAGATATCTAGAACAATTGTTTCTGACATTGTTTGCACAAAAGTAGACTAGACGTAGTCTTGTTCATCTCTCATATAAAATCACAATCATTTGAGTTTTGAGTTTGCAAGTAAGTCGAAAGACGCTTAGAAAACTATAACAAGACGGTGCAATGCGGTATAAGCAGTATTTCCTGTCCGCAGTGTCGTCATACAATAGATTCTTGATCTACCTAAAAATATCATCTTTAAGTAAGGCATAGAGAACGTACAAGTTGTCTACGTTCTCTTAGTCAAACGTTCAGTGCTTCCAAGCACGGCATCCAATCACGGTCCACGAAGGGTTTTTTTTTTAGATTCTCCTGAGCCTAAAATAATTTTAAAAATTATAATAATTAGACACCCAGACCAAGGAAAGCCACTATTGAACTTTGACCAGGCCTAAATTGGTAAAAGGAAAAGTATAGAGGCTATACTAAGGCCTACTTTGTACAGAGCTCCTCTTGGGGACAAAACCAGATTGTGCATGCTTCACCACTACATAAAAAACTACAAAGCAACAAGTTATAATTATGGGAAAAATTTGTTGGTCAGTCGAGAAGAGAACCCCCCAAAAAAACAAAACAAAAAAAACTTCCAGGACCGAGATCGAACCCACGCTCATAAAATGATGGTTTGGCTTCAAACGCAGACACCCTGTCACTTTGGCCATCAGAACTTCCAACAATGAAAGCTTCATATAGAATATAGCCTAGGCTAACACACGCCGTTTTATTTAGCACTGGCGCTAATCGCAACACAGCGTTTCATTTAGCACTGGCGCTAATCGCAACACAGCGTTTCATTTAGCACTGGCGCTAATCGCAACACTGCGTTTCATTTAGCACTGGCGCTAATCGCAACACAGCGTTTCATTTAGCACTGGCGCTAATCGCAACACAGCGTTTCATTTAGCACTGGCGCTAATCGCAACACTGCGTTTCATTTAGCACTGGCGCTAATCGCAACACTGCGTTTCATTTAGCACTGGCGCTAATCGTAATGCGGCGTTGCAAATAGGCACTTTTCTTTTATTACAAGGCAACAATAAATCTAGATCTTGAAGCAGGGCTCCCCTTTTCAGACCAACTTAAGAGGTTTCTTCACCCTTTGGTGTTCTATCTCAAGGGGTATTTAAACCCTTGTTTTAGAAACTTAAAGGGTCAAAATCAATTATCTCCTAATTTTATAGTAAGAATGTTTGTATGTATGTAAACATTTAACTCACATGCGCATTTACACAGACACACACAGAGTGACCACGACTATGATTGAATGCAGACGATTTTTAATGAACATAAGGTTTCATTGTAACAACAAGAAATATATGAGTAATATTGACTAGAATTAGAGTTGTGTCCATTTGGACAGGGGAAGGGTGGTGGTGGGTGGACCAATAGAAAATAAAACAAAGTGGACAAACCAAAAGTGTCAAGTCCGTCCGTAATACACAAAGAAAATCAGACCCTGCCACTCTATGAAATCTAAAAGTCAGGATCTCAGTGGGAAAAAAAATCGGGATTTCGGGAGAAAATAAATCATATATATATATATATATACACTAGCTGGGCCCCCTTTCGATGAAAGGAATGATCGGTGCTTTAATATCAACTAAAAGTCATTGGCCTACTATATTTACACTCTACTGGAATGGGGCAATAAATCTTGAGAGATGCAAAAAATTATTAGGTCTAGATCTAAACTCTCAAAACAAAATGCGTCTCGCAAAATATCACTTCCGGATTTTCTAAAATTACCAAGACAGAAGCGTCGGCCTACAAAAGCGATCGGCGAAATAAAGAAATGTAGTTTTTTGCAGCAAAACTGTCTCTAAACTGAAAAAAACGAAGGGCGTCTTACTCTGGAGAATATTTTAAAGAATCTTTTGGCGAAAACCGCAAGTCGATCGATGCAGCCATTAAAAAGCTTTTTGAATAGCAAAATTCGGCCACCACAAATAGATAATAGAAATATATATATTATATATGTATCATGCATTTCCTCTGCGCGCGCGCACGTGTGTGTGTGTGTGCGCGCGCGCGTGCCTGTGTGTTTGATCTTTTTAAAAAATATCCTGAAATATCACGTCAAGTTCTTCTAGTCCAAGAGTTTTACACCCCCCCCCCTCCCCCCCCGGATAAGTCCCAAAAGACGCTTCAACCGGTGTGCATGAACTTAAATTGACCCCATCAACGACGGTCCCTGACACAAGTGAAACTCACACCTCGAAGTCAAGTCACGTGATGCGAATGTGCTATTGCTATTGAAAGTTTTACTGACGGGTCTTGATGACGGGCCTGACTAACCAAAACTCAAACAAAGCTTGTTTTGAAAGTAATAGCAGAACTACGAATAATAATATTGCTAATTTGTGCGTATAATATTGCAAATTTGTTCGTATAATATTGCTAATTTGTGTGCATAATATTGCTAATTTGTGTGTATAAAATTGCTAACTTGTGTGTATAATATTGCTAACTTGTGTGTATAATATTGCTAATTGGTGTGTAGAATATTGCTAATTGGTGTGTAGAATATTGCTAATTTGTGTGTATAATATTGCTAATTTGTGAGTGTATAATAATATTGCTAATTTGTGGGTATAATATTGCTAATCTGTGTACAATATTGCTAATTTGTGTGTACAATATTGCTAATTTGTGTGTATATTGTGTGTATAATATTGCTAATTTGTGCGCTAATTTGTGTGCATAATATTGCTAATTTGTGTGTATAATATTGCTAATTTGTGCATATAATATTGCTAATTTGTGTGCATAATATTGCTAATTTGTGTGTATAATATTGATAATTTGTGGGTGTATAATATTGCTAATTTGTGTGTATAATATTGCTAATTTGTGTGTACAATATTGGTAATTTGTGTGTATAATATTGCTATTTTGTGTGTATAATGTTGATAATTTGTGTGTATAATATTGCTAATTTGTGTGTATAATATTGCTAATTTGTGCGTCGCAATTTGGAGAAATCTGAGAGGAAACAAAAGTGAAAGTAGATCTTGAGAATGTCCCAAGTCGGAATACCAAATCAATACTAGATTCTACTTCCGTTATAGTTGAAATAACACGTGCGAGCAAAGATCCAATGCAACTTTTGTTGACTCAATTACTAAATTCGGCATCAACATTTAGGAAAATACCCCACGGGGCGGTGCCACTGACTGTAGTGTCTTTAGGCCATTCCTAAAGGGGGGACATTTCTCGTTCAAGCACAGTAGAATTGTAAATGGGCTGATTCATCATGTCACGCTCATAACTGTGCCTGATCTAGAACACGGAACTTTTTCTTTCCTAATCCTCCCTATTGTCATTTTCTTGTACTTCTTTTGTATATCTGTCACACTCTTGTGACCTGCTATTTCCGGGGTGCCTTGATAGTCGAAGCAGACTTTGTGCTGTTGAAGCTAGAGAGGTGAGCAGAGTAAGTCTGATTCCCTGTAAGGACTTCTCTGTTAACACCCACCCCTTGGCGCTCATATGACCTTATGCAGTTGCGAGCCCCGTAAAACTCTCTACTAAAATATTAAAAAAAATTTTAAATTAGGAAAATACTGCTCCCAGGTTTCTGCTGACAAAAAGTTTAACGAGTACTTCCCACAACAGAAAAGAAGGCAGAGTAAGATTTCAGAAAAATCCGGCGCAACAGACAGAACAAAAAATAAAAAATCAATCTATCAAAATCGGGATACACGCGGTCAAAAATGGGAAAAATCAGGATGCTTGAAATTTGGGACCCGATTAAATTGGGACGAGTGGCAGGTTTGGAAAATAAACTGATTTATTATCAGAGCCATCCCAGGGTCTACATTCCAGTCTTTCCAGACTTTTGATTCATGTTTACTGGTGTGTTAATGAAGGATGGGGGTAATCTCATGGCAGGGGTAAACACAAGGCACGACACCGGCAAATGGCAAATGTGAGCGACCAGAATGGGGGCGGAGCTTCTCTGCTGAAGCAAGCCGGTGTCACCGGAAACAGCGCAGCTGACAAGTTAAAGTAGGGCGACTGCTTCTGACTTGACACAGAGTCACAGACAAAAGGTGACTGTCGTGTGCGTGTGAGTGTGTTGTCAAATCATAGACTCAGCTTCGGGGTAGGCCTAGAGAAGGGGGAAAATGATGCTTGCCACACGCATCTTAAAGCGTACATGCAAACCCCCGAAATGAAATTACAAAGGGTAAAGCTCACGCACCACCAAAACTTTAAGGGGGTAATTTGCAGGTTTAATTAAGGGGTAATATACGCACAAATGTGGTAAAGGGGAGCCCTGAGAAGCTATATCTATCCTTTACATTTTAGTTTCCCAGAGCTAGAGATATCTAGATCTAGATCTAGATCTAGAATCTAGAATCTAGAATAGATCTCTATCCTTTTCACATTATGATTTCCCAAGAGCTATCCTTTTCATTTTCTAGATCTCTATCCATTCTGGACATACTATTGTCTTGTTTTGAAGAGAATTACTTAGGCCGCGATCTAGATCTAGATCTAGAGAATCTTGGACCTAGCCGCTATATATAACTATAACTATTTCAGCACAACACAGTGACTTGAACTTGAGTCTTGAGTGAAAATCTCGCTTCACCCAAATCAAAACAACCAACCTGGAGTGTGTGTCCCTTCTGCACTCTAACCCCAGAGCAATTGGGGTGCACTTGTTGACCTATCTGTACGTTTAGTCTTAGTTTCATTATTTGAGTCCATGGTCTCCACATCCCCACCAATGTCATTTTGTTTTGGTTATGAAATCCTGCACCTGAGTGTGTAGTGTGTAGTGTGTGTATGTTTTATTTTGACTTTGGGTGCACAAAATAATCGATATCTTAAAATATCGCAAAAGATTTGGGTATCGCAATAATTTCAAGTATATCCACAGAATTCTGTGAGTAGATCCAAAGATGGTAAATAACAAGATGGGCCACTCAGCCAAAAAAGTGTCCGCAGGAAGTATGCTCTTTGCTTCAGATGGCGCTGCAGTCTGTTTTGAAGCTCTCTTTCGTTTTTCCAGAAAAAGAATAGGAATAGCACCTCCTTGCGTGCGCAGATCGACTGCTGTTCATCAGTAGTTCGGGTTCGTTCAGTGCGGAGTTTTAGGTTATTTATATTTTAATGATCTCTCGCCTTTCATTCTAAAGTCAAATTAAACGAAGAAAACAATCACCCTTTCCTCCGGAAGAGGTTTTTTGTCAGCGTAACCATTTTAAAAAAGCGTTCTTCCGAAATTCAACCAAAAACTTGCTAGTTTCACTTTGATTTTTTAAAACTCAAGTAGGATAACTCTGTTCGCAAAAGGTGCGCTTTTGCGAAGAGGGCGCCACCGAATTTTGAGGACACTTTTTTAATTGGCTCAAAGAGAGAAGTGGCCCCTCTTGTTATGTAGACTCTTTGGTAGATCTAATGTATCGATAACTTGAAGCGCTGAATGGTGGAGTGAGAGTAGCTTCCCCTGAAATATCTCAATGTTAACTAGTTTTCAATTGGTTCGTGTACAGCATTATAACCAATCAGAAACAATTTAACATATTGACATTCTTTTGTTTCTTCAAGATGGCTGAGGGTATGCAGAAACGGCTTCAGGGTGAATTGGAGAAGTTTCAAAATGTGCAAAAAGGTGTGGTTTTATGTCATTTTTTTACTCCTGTCATGCAGAAAATATAGAAGAAAGTATCACATGATATATGTGGTGAGATGGTAATCTAAAATGAACGCTACATCTACCCAAAGTCGACCTGTATTGATGGGTGACAACTCGTTGGTTGGTCTGCAGGTGAAGGCATGGGCAGTGCCAGTTGCATGGAAACGGTGATTCTCAACATTACAACAATCAGTCTTACAAAGCCCATTTCCCGTTCTAAAAACTAGAGTCTATATCCCAATCAGCTACGCCCTATGACATTACGACGTTTCCTCTCATGAGCTTCTCACAATTGACTTTTTGTCTTTTAAATATCGAAGTGGCTAGCCGTACTTAAGTTAATAAAGTACGGCTAGACTGCTAGACTGCCAGTCTAGCCGTACTTAGATCTAGATCTAGGTTTGGCCCTATCGACTCAAGCCTGTTTAGTACACAGGTCTCATTAGATCTAGATCTAGTAATTATTCAGGTTCAAATACATGCAAGTCAGTAAGGCTTCTTTTGGTTTTGTCTGAAATACAAATACTTTACGCATTGCAAAATAAAAATTTCATTTATAATTCAGCCATCAATATTAAGTACGGCTAGCCTGACAGTCTAGACGTCCTTAAGTACGGCTAGCCTGGCTGTCTACCCGTACTTAAGTACAGCTAGACAAGAAGTCTAGCCGTACTTAAGTACGGCTAGACTGCCAGTCTAGCCGTACTTATCTTATTAACTTTAGAAAACAGGAGGTTTAAAATACATGCACTGTCATTAAGGCACCTGGTTTCGTCTCAAATGCAAATACTTTAGGTACTGCACACTAAAAATGTATATTTACAATTCAGTAGGCCTATTTTTTGGGCCACCTCTATTCTCATAGTCTGGCTATTCTCACCCGGTGCGCGTTCACCGTTATAGCCTAGATCTAAGCCAACAAATTTTGCGTTCACCCTAAACCACAGAATTCTATACTGTGATAACAGAAAAATTGTAGAATTCTGTGCCGTGAACAAACGTTCCATTACAACTGTAGCCTACTAAAAAAAAGCGTACAATTTTGTATGTGGGCAGTGGAGAGAGAGAGAGGAGTAGCACGAGAACTTCCGGTCAAAACAAAATGGCGACCCGCGTAGTTCGGCTCGATTCGAAAAGTTTAAATAGCCGTAGCATCTTTGTAGACAACCAAATTAATTTACTTTTGTGTTTTAACATCATTTTTTAACTTTGTTTTGGTCAATTTGATCGTCCACACCGATAGACAGTATTCAGAAAGAGACAGAGAGAGAGAGAGGGGAGGAGTAGATTTTGCGAGAACTTCCGGGCAAAACAAAATGGCAACCCGCGTAGTTCGGCTCGATTCGAACAGTGAAATAGCCATAGCATCTTTGAAGACGATCAAATTAGCTTACTTTTGTGCTATAACGTAATTTTTTCTTGGCTTTTATCAATTTGATCATCCACTCCGATAGACAGTATTCCAAAATGAGGAAAAGCAGGTCTTGTTTCGCACCGGGTGAGAATAGCCTACGCTGGCAAGTCTCACCCGGGGTGAGAGGTAGATCGTTTTTCTATTCTCACCCCGGATGAGAATTGCCACTTTCTTTTGTTTCTTTTGTAAATGGTCAGTCTAGCCATCATATTAAGAATAAGTATGGCTAGACTGCGAGTCTAGTCATACTTAAGTACGGCTAGACTGCCAGTCTAGCCGTCATTAAGTACGGCTAGCCTCTTCCTTTAAATATTATTCAAGGAAGGACTTCCGTAACGAGCGACCACACCATCAAACATGATAAAGATTAAAAGAAGAGGCCAAACCCTAACACTAACCCTAACCCTAACCCAAACCCTAACCCTAACCCTACCCCTACCCCTACTCCTAGATCTACCCCTGCCCCCTAGCCCTCAATTCTGCTCTGTCTCAAAGTGGTCGCTCGTTACGGAAGTCCTCCCTTATTCAATGAGTCATTAGCAGCCGTAGGCTGTGGTAGGCCGACAGTAGGGTAGATTCTAGGCCTCTCCTCTACCCTCTTTTTGTTGTGCTGTAGACTGTTGTCTGACACAAGTGAGAAAAGTGTGTGACAGGTCTGCATTGTTGTTGGATCGAAGTTTGAGAAATTGGTGCTTTTTCGGTAGTTCTCACCCCCCTTATTTGAGCCTGACCTACATCGAGATCTATACGTTTGATGCGAGCTAAGATATATCAAACCTAACAACTGCAAAACATCAAATTATGGTAAAATTCACAACCCCCGCCACCACATTTTTATTTGGACGGGGGCATGCCCCCTTGAAACCCCCCTCTCTTGAGGCCAAAACCGGCGAATAACAATTGCGGGGTGGGAACTACCGAAAAAGCGCCGATAAATTTTACTTGAAATTTATGGATTTCTGTTTTGGTTTGCATTGTTTTGCACAATGACTTAAAATCTAGATCTAGATCTAGGCCTACTTCTGGGGGACATTTTTATTCATCTTCCTGACTCAAAATCTTCATTATGGAGTCGGAGTGGGATCAATTGAATTTTTTGCTCTTGTTACAGGAATTTAACATATTTTAGAGCAAATTAAGCAGTTTAGATCATGTGTGTGATGCATACATAGGGCTTAGCATTTTGTTCTGAAGAAAATCTGTGTCTGTTCCTATTGTTCCTCAAGACCTGTAATGATGTATGGAGTGCAGTAATTTGTGTCACAACGCGGTGACATTGGGTGTTCGGCAATTTTTTGGCATAAATGGGGTTATTGTTATCAGCTTAAAGCTTGTTCATTTGTCTATCTTTGGATGAAAAAGTATTCAGCTATCTTGAATAGCAGTTGAGATATTTGTGATTGAAGTAGGTGGGGGGTATGGTACCTTGGTTTTAAAGGTAAAATTAGCGACAAAATGGCTGCCAAAGTTTGGTGATCTCCAAAGCTTGAGAGTCAAAGTTTGGTGATCTCCAAAACTTGAGAGTGCTTAGATAAGTAGTACTACAAATTTACAATATTTGTGCGTTTAATCAGCATGTTTCAAGCAAGATAATCCACACAGAAATGTGTTTATAAATGGACATAAAGGGTGTTAAGCCAAAAACCAAAAATTAGATCAAAATTGCCAAACTGTGGGGAAAATGCTGTTTTCTTCAAGTTCATTATTTTGACGAGAGCATGATTTCTCCTTGATGCGTCCCATTTTGGTTTAGAATTCTTTATTGTCTCTCTACATTTGCCAGATGTTGGAAAACACGTGAACCTGAGGCAGCAGCTGGAGGGTCAGCTCAGTGAAAACACCTTGGTCAAAGAGGTAAGTCAAGACTCAGTGAAAACACCTTGGTCAAAGCGGTAAGTCAGGACTCGGTGAAAACACCTTGGTCAAAGAGGTAAGTCAGGACTCGGTGAAAACACCTTGGTCAAAGAGGTAAGTCAAGACTTCGGTTTGCAAAGAGGTAAGTCAAGACTCAGTGAAAACACCTTGGTCAAAGCGGTAAGTCAGGACTCAAAACACCTTGGTCAAAGAGGTAAGTCAAGACTTAGTGAAAACACCTTGGTCAAAGAGGTAAGTCAGGACTCAAAACACCTTGGTCAAAGAGGTAAGTCAAGACTTAGTGAAAACACCTTGGTCAAAGAGGTAAGTCGGGACTCGGTGAAAACACCTTGGTCAAAGAGGTAAGTCAAGACTCCGGTTTGCAAAGAGGTAAGTCAAGACTCCGGTTTGCAAAGAGGTAAGTCAAGACTCCGGTTTGCAAAGAGGGAAGTCAAGACTCCGGTTTGCAAAGAGGTAAGTGAAGACTCCGCTGGCTGTTCCCTGTGGGAGGAACAATGATATTAGTCTGTTCGTCTCAGGAGACACTCATGGATGAGGTTTTTGTACTCTTGATGACGATCGGTGGAGTCCTCTTATACTACAACGTTTTCTTCAGTTCCGCCACAGTTTCAGTTCACACAAGTTATTCAAAAATCTTTTTAATTAAAAAAGTTGGGGATCTCGTTTTCTTTTGGTTTACCAGTTTTTGTTTAAATTAAAAACTGGGTTTGGTTCCCTGGGACTCCGCTGTCAACACATGTCTTTATTTACCATTTGCTGTCACTTACCTGACTTATGCTGGGCCAGGGCATCGGCTCAATGGTCAAGAAAAGGCTATAATAATATATGTGTCACGACATGGTGGAACCAGACGCTCGTCAGTTTTGGGGCATGTAGAGTTCTATTCATGTCATCAGAAAGCGTGGTCATTTATCTTGCTTAAAAAAGAAGAAAAATCTTTGAATTGAACAGAATTGAAGATATTTGCCATTGAAGGAGATAAGGGTCGTCTGGTGTCAGGTAAAAGTAGGCAAAAGAAAATGGCAGCCCAAGTTTGGCGTCTTCCAAAGCTCTTACAGTGTCCTTGGAAACTACAAATTAACATTTTTTGTGTGCCTTAGGTCAAAGTTTCCCAGTAAAATCCATGCAGGAATGTGTTTTTCACAAAAGTGGACATAAAGGTGTTGAGCTCAAAACAAAACAAAACAAATCTATAAAAAGTGCAGAGGGGTCAGAAAAGTGTGGATTTCTTCGATGTGTTGTTTTTGACGGGTGCCTGCTTTCACCACGATGACTCACATATATGTGTGTTTTCTGTTGACACCATGGTCTGTCCGACAAAAAATGGCGAGCTGAGAGGGTCTGCTGTGTTAGATATCGAGATTTACATAAGGGAAATTTTCTATCGACATTAGTATTGTTATTCATCATGAGAAAGATTTTCAAATTATTTTGATTGGTAAAACTTTTACATTGTCCTTCGTACAATTTTTAGCAACTAGATCTAGGTGTTTCACTCAGATCGTGTGGTGTGTCTTTTTTCTCATATTTATATATATATATATATATATATGTGTGGTAGGCTTATTACCCACAGAGATTGCCCCAGCCATAGAACTTTCTCATATATATATGTGATAGGCTATTACACCTAGCCCCAGCCATAGAACTTCCTCATATATATATGTGATAGGCTATTACACCTAGCCCCAGCCATAGAACTTTCTCATATATATATGTGATAGGCTATTACACCTAGCCCCAGCCATAGAACTTTCTCATATATATATGTGATAGGCTATTACACCTAGCCCCAGCCATAGAACTTTCTCATATATATATGTGATAGGCTATTACACCTAGCCCCAGCCATCAATTTAATTGTGGATGATCATGGCCAGATACTTTGTGTAGATATAGCCAGCTCAGTTTTGCAATGTTGGGTTCATGTGGGTGGTGTGGAAGGAGTGTTCAACTCAAACTCAAATGTAAAAATGAAAGTTTTTGAAAAAATATTATGTTCCTTAATTATAGACTTATTGATATAAGTCCTATTGATGTCATATGAAAATTGTTAGTCATGTAATGATTTTTCTCTTGTGTTTCAGGAGCTGGATCGATTGGAAGAAGGAGCTGGTGTGTACAAAATGATCGGCCCTGCTCTTATCAAACAAGACTTGGGAGAAGCGAAACAGACTGTACAGAAGCGAATTGATTACATCAATGGAGAACTGTGAGTAGATATATATTATCCACATGCGGATACACAGTCATGGTTGGACAAAGTTTCACGGATTGTTTTGTGCCATTTTTTTCCTTCTAAGTCATGAAATGGATGAAGCAGTTTTGAAAGGTATAGAAATGGCTTGTAGATTAACGACTTTTCTGTAATGTGTTAGAATACATTCCTTAATCAAGCTAAATAAAGTAAGCTGTCCCCGTTGAATTATGCAAATTTAGAAGGCCAAATTATGCACACAAAAGAAGCAAAATTATGCAAAAATTATGCAAGTTATCGTAACACCATTCGCGACATGTTTTGCACTTTTTCAGCAAGAATTTTCATGATTTTCATGTTTTATGTACTGAAAAATTGAAAACAGAACATATCAGTATCAGTAATTTGTTGTGTATTTGGAAAGAAAACAATACACATCGGTCAGAAAAAACAACAACCTAAAAACATAATCTGTGTAACTTTCCGTTGTAGATCTAAATCTCTATAGAGGAAAGAAAAATGTTTAAAAAAAAAAAAAAAAGGACATCTGGACCTCTGATGCTGGCACATCACAAAAACCAGGGACACCTGTCAAACATGAAGCATCAGCAGACATGAGAACAACAACTTTTGATGGATTGAAAAATTGAACATGCTCAAGGAACAAAATCACAACCCATAACCAAGATCTTCTACCACGGGAAATAACCAACTTTTCACTTAAATGAGACTTATTACGGTGATTACTTCCCCTTAGTCACATGGCGAGGCCTTAATTAATTGTTTTGTGAAAATAGACCTGCATGTTTGCCGACAATCGTCTGAAATCCGACAATCGCGACCCGACCCGCGAGGCGGCTGATGCTATCGCTAGGCCCACCTGTATCAGTCAATGTGCGTAGTGCGAGGCTTGGCCGACTGCCAGCGACCCCTTTTTCTCCCGTCGGCTTTGTCGGCACTTTCGTTTTCGTGCCGACCGCCGACGCGCGCACCGCCGACTGCCGACGTCGGCGTTTCCGACATAATTGTCGGAACCTGAGTAGAAATGCGAATACGAAAAAAGACGACGACCTAAATTATCTACTTTCAGTTTCGTGCTCGAGCGGCCATTTTGAATTTCGTTTTGTTGACAAATTCAATTGTTCAGATCGTATGGATTCATTCCAGCCCGACTCACTTAGATAATAGAATCTAGATCTAGATCTAGATTTATATAGATCATTATAGACCTCAATGGAGGATTCATATTCCAATTCTATTTTGTCAAACCCTATCAAAGGTTGTGCTGTAATATTAATGTTGGTAAAAGGCATTTCATCAGGTGCGTGAATTATTTATTTATTTAGAATCTATACTCAGCTGAGCCCCTCTGTTCGGAATCGGATGCGGATTTCTAGTTCAAGGCCTATTCCTAGATCCTATTCACTTGTTCTTCTAGATCTAGATTATCTAGATCTAGATTTATTTAGTTTACTAGATCTAGATCTATGTGGAGGATTCATATTCCAATTCTATTGTGTTATTGTATCAAACCCTATTATTGTAGATCTAGCAATATGTAGATGTAGACCATTATGATTATATTATGCTCCTTGTAAGCCTTGTTTGTTTTGGAGTGTGGTTTTTTAATTTTAAAAATATTTTTCATTTTGGACTTGTGCTGGCCTTTTCACATGAGGCTCGTTGCAGGTTCTTTTTTGGGGTAGGCCTAGGGGTAGGGGAAGGGTTAGGTCTCTTCTTTGTTGTGTTTGTTGGGGTGGTCGCTCGTTACTCGGAAGTCCTTCCTTATGACACCAACAAAAGCTCTTTTGGGAGGGGGGAGGGTTGCGCAAAATTTTCAGACAATCTGGTTGAGGCTCACATGCAGGTCTATGAAAAACATGGGAAAAAACGTGAAAAAATGCGGGGAATCCAAAATTATGCAAATGTTGCAGAATTATGCGAAAAAACGCGGCCGCACAATCGCATAATCGTACGGGGACAGAGTAAGGCTAACTGTCTCTTTGTCTCTTCTGTTTTCCTTAAACGGATGTCTGTTCTTTTCTCCCTTGAGTGATCAGCAAATTTTCTGTAACGTCAGATTTTGCAATTCACCTTCCATAACCACATGACAGCCTAAGGGCCTGGACGGGAAGTCTACCCCCAGATCCTAAGCAAGGGGAAGGAACCCACCTCCCGTGAATACAAGCATCTAAAAAACACATTTTTTAAATACTAAACAAGCTCCAAAAATCCTGAAATAATAAAACTTAGAAAGAGAAAAGATTGTAGCTTCAGAAAAATATAACTTTATGTATGCACAAACTGTCGGAAATGTTCTGACTCAAGTTCAATCGGGGTGTCCGACCCGTCACTCTCAGCCTCGCGGTCGGGCCCCAGGTCTGAATTCTAGATTTTCTACGTCTGATCAATCTGAATCGCCCCAAACTCTTGGTACAACGTTTTCATCAATATCTGTTTTGTCATTTACTCGTTCTCGCTCAAATCCATAGTTATTTCCTTTTTCAAACTCTATGTGTCGCTTTTTAACAAGACGAGACACCTTCGAATTGTGGGAAACGCGATCACCTTTTGATCGGCTCTAAAACTAAAACAGCTAACCCGAAAATTTTCATTTCTGTATCAAATGGAAGAAGAAACATTTTGGGCGTGAGAGTTAGGGTGGAGCGTGTAAGGAAGTTCCCGGGCGAGTTAGGGTGTAATGTGTTAACTATGTTAAACGTCTGGTCAAGAAAGTTGATGTACAGAACCTGTCCTGTACCTACCACTTGAGAACCTGTCCTGTCCTGTACCTACCACCTTGAGAACCTGTCCTGTCCTGTACCTACCACCTTGAGAACCTGTCCTGTCCTGTACCTACCACTTGAGAACCTGTCCTGTCCTGTACCTACCACTTGAGAACCTGTCCTGTACCTGTGTATCTCTGACATTGTGTTCACACACGTCCCCATGTTGTGTATCTCTAACATTATGTTCACACACGTCCCCATGTTGTGTATCTCACACACATCCCCATGTTGTGTATCTCTAACATTATGTTCACACACGTCCCCATGTTGTGTATCTCACACACATCCCCATGTTGTGTATCTCTAACATTATGTTCACACACGTCCCCATGTTGTGTATCTCACACACGTCCCCATGTTGTGTATCTCTAACATTATGTTCACACACGTCCCCATGTTGTGTATCTCACACACGTCCCCATGTTGTGTATCTCTGACATTGTGTTCACACACGTCCCCATGTTGTGTATCTCTGACATTGTGTTCACACACGTCCCCATGTTGTATGTTCCAGCAAGCGCCACGAGAACCTGATCAAAGAGTTGGAGAAGAAGGCGGACAACCACCGGGAGACGTTGAACAAACTCCAGCATCAGTTCCAGCAGGCCCAGGTCAAGGCCGCCGCCAAGTCGTAGTGACCTCTCCACACGTCGGCTCTCTCGTCCAGGTCATCGCAGTGTGCGCGCTTCTCTGTGGGGCGGGTGGGTGGGGGCGGGTCTTTGTTGTACATACAGCCTAGAGTGCTTTGTTGGGTGGAATGTTTGATTCTCGAGGGTGTGCTTTTTTGTGTTTTCTAGGTTATGTGGAGGAGTCTAAGTCTGCCGGGGACGTCTGGACTTTGGATACCTTCCCAGTGAATGACAAAAAGTGTGTGTGTGTTAAATAATCTATTTTAGGAGAATACCCAAGAAATTCCTCCAATAGTTGACTGTGAATGTTTTGAAGGTAATTGATTTCTTATCTTGTTACCGGAAAAATGCATATTGTGAATTGTGAATCGAGAGTGACCAAGATTTTTCAGAAAGGGTATTGAGACAAGTTTCACACAATTCTAACAGACATTCTTTAGTCTACTGACTCTGTGAGACTAGCAGAGAACCTTTTATTTTTCCGTGTGCTTCGCCACATTGAAAGCGTACACTCTTCATAAGAATGTGTGCAATTTCAGTCTAAAAATGTAGTCTTGTGACATTATGCGAAGGTTACCGTACAAAAGGCAGTTCATGTGCAGTCCTGCATTTTCTGTTTTATTACTGTACGGTAGATCCTCAAATAAATGAAACTGATACTGCGAGTTAGGAGGGAGTAGATGAAAAAGGTTTCTTAGTTCTTCCTGTACAGTGTTGTTTCTGTCTCATACAAAGGCCGTCTCAAGGTCTCTCTGTCTGCCAGGACTGATGCTTGAATCTCTCTATCGAGGTTACGTGAAGGAATGAATGTGTTTTAGAATCTTTATTTACTGCATAAGATGTTGGTGGGTGGTTGGTGGGTGCTCTGGTGTGGTTTGCTTCTTCTTTCTTATCAAACATCTATCATCCTTATCTCCCTTTCTTTTTTATGTTTGTTACTCTCTGGTAACACCTCTAATCGTTTGGCGCTCTACAGTTGAGAGCGCCGTAAAACCTCTACTAAAAAGTAAGATGTTGTGTGTGCAATAGTACGTGGGCTATGTTTCAGGTAACTTCCTCTCCACTGTCGCTGTGTGGGGGAGAGTGGGTGCCTGTGTGTGGGGGAGACTGTGTGTGGAGACAGCATTTTGTAGCAATGCCAATCGGGCTTTCCCGCGCGGCGAAAATTTGGTCCCCGTTTGCAGGCGATTTTGTGGACCCGGCCGAAGCGTAGGTGACTAACTTTGTCAACCTCGGTCTGCTCTATTTCCGAACCAATCCGAATGAAACTCGACAACCAATCAGAAAATAGGGCAAACTAATGATATGTGGACGTTGAAGTTTGTACACATAAATTAACCTATACTTTTGGTGTCGGGAACACTGTCGTATCGTGTACACCGAAAACGATAAGGAGTTTGAATTTAAACGCCGAGATGGTAATAGATCTATCTATCCTCTATAGTGTGCTCAAATTTGAACGTTCTGTGTCAAGTAGTTGTTTAGACCCGACCATAAATGCACGACTACCCCCCTATTCAAAGCGGCTTCGCACGGAGACCAGCAATTTTCCCCTCACTCTCGCGGCAAATGTATGTGACCTACAAATCCCCACATGACTATTCCGGGCCCGTTCATTGGTCACTTGAATAGGGCAATGGCGGGCGCGCGCATCAGGTTGTTTTTCTCTCTATTCCCCTGTAACATCGCAGTGGGGGTTTTCCGGGGCGAGGTTATCTCGTCTCGGGGTGTTCGCGTCTCAACGGGGAAAGAATTTTTAATTGTACGGCATGCTAGATTGAATTAACTTATCTTTTACGGTTGGCATGGTCTAAAGTCATCATAAAAAGCTTTGCAATTATTTAGT